TAGATGGAGTGATTAAAGAACAAATTAGAAAAGATTAGGGAGAAAGTAAGTGAATTGAAAGAACACTTGAAGACAAGAGAAAAAGAGGGAGAAACTATAAAAGCTACAGGTGTGAGGGATAACATTTGCAGAGAGGATCAAACTGATAGGGAAAATGAAGATAAGCTATATTGGAAGAGAGCATATGTGATGGTATCAGGACTGGCCACTGGATCGTCCCATTCAAGAAACACAGTTTCTTATTTTTGGAAAAGATACCTTTAATGTGCTGCATCATACTGCATCATAGTAAAACTATTTATAATTCCCATCTTTCCATTTTCTGTTGAATCTATGACAAATTGGATTTTTGCCCCAACAGCTCACTGGAACCATTCCCTATTCTGTACACAAAATAACAAAATCTCATTTTACTTGATTAGCAGCAGCATTCAACAGAGTGGATCATTCATTCCTCCTGGAAACACTTTTTCACTTGGTACCATGGCAACATAGTTTCATGGGCTTGACTCCCATCTCGTCATTATGCTTTTGGTCTTGTTTGCTGATTTCACCTCTTCTCCTCTTCCTCTTTACATGAGAGAGTCTCAGAGCTTATCCTAGAACTTCCTCTTATTTACATCCACTTTAAGTTCCTGGGTGACAATCTCTGTTACTTCGTTTGAAGCAGCACGTGCAAGCTGAAAAGCCCAGTTTTATACTTTCTTGCCCATATCTCACCATTCACCTTAGGGCATTGATATATGAACCCTTAGTCAACTGGTCCATTTGTGTGTTTCATGAAAAATTCACTCTTCGGATGTCTAATCCAAATACAGACTCTTAATCACACTTGCTTCATGTATAGTCTTTTCCAGCTCATTGAATGGAAACAGATTCAGTCTGTTTTCAGATGCTCAAGATAAAGCACATGCTTTATCCATAACCCCTTTCCTTCTTTCTCAGGCCACGTTCTCACAGTAGAGGCTTCTTAACACTGACTTCAAAGTATTCCAGAGTCCAATCTCCCATCGCCATTGCCATACTTTACCTTAGCCCAAGCCACCACATCCCTGTAATATTTTGAGTCTCCCTATTTTTGTTCTTAATTTTTTATTTCTTTTTATCTGCCAAATTGAGACTAGTATAATGTAGTTAGAGCATGCTACTCATCTGTTCCTGCTTCTTGAAAAAGAAGTTACAGACTTACCTAGCCAAAATATTCATGTATATTACTTTATAATACAGCATTTCTCAATTTTTACTTCATTATCTCCCCCAAACTCAACCAGCCAAGGAGTCTTTACAGACACATTATCGCCATAAAAATTCAAGGCCAAATATATGTTATGTCTCTCTTCATGTACTATATGTGTAACTGTGCTTAGATAAGATGGGCTAGAATTTTTTTGCTACCAACACAACAGAAATACAATTATAAGAGAATATTATGTTCCTTAAAAGAGGAAGAGAGAGAGAGCACAGGCAGGCAACATGGCAGGCAGAGGCAAAGAGTGAAGCAGGCTCCCCACTGAGCCAAGCCCAGTGCAGGACTCAGTCCCAGAACACTGGGATCATGACCTGAGCCAAAGGCAGACACTTAATGACTGAGACACCCAGGTGCCCTAAGAGAATAGTACTCAAAAAAATATTTAGAGCAACAAATGGGGACAACATGGAAGAAATGGATAAATTCCTAGAAACATGAACTACCAAAACCAAAACAGGAAGAAATGGAAAACTTGAGCACATGGAAAACCAGCAAGAAAATTGAATCAGTCATCGAAAATCTCCCAACAAACAGAACTCCAGGGCCAGATGGTTCCCAAGGGAATTCTGCCAGACATTTAAAGAAGAGTTAATACCTATTCTCCTCAAAAAGTTCCAAACAAATAGAAATGGAAGGAAAACCTCCGAATTCATTCTATGAGGCCAGCATTAGCCTAATTGCAAAACCAGACAAAGACTCCACTATAAAAGAGGACTGCAGGCCAATATTCCTGATGAACATGGGTGCAAATAGTCTCAACAAAATACTAGCAAATCAAATCCAACAATAACTAAAAGAATCAAGTGGGATTTAATTTTTGGCTGCAAGGCTTGGTCAATATTCACAAAGGAAACAATGTGATACACCATATTCATAAAAAAGTGTAAGTACCATATGAAACTTTCAACAGATGTATAGAAAGATTTTGACAATGCACATTCCAAATAGTTGGAGATAAATATCAATAAACCCCTGTTGTTAATGGGGCGATGTTTATAGTTATTTCCCTTTATAATAGAAATGACATCAGGAGAGTATAAGGGAAAGAAGCATGTTATGCCAAGATTTAGCAACCTGTGTAAAAATAGAACTGACACATCTAAGATACTCTTCAAAGACCTGAATTTTCAGGTCTCAGCATTTGTGACCGAGAAAAAAGCAAGTTAACAGCATGAGTGGTCAAGCCTCTGACTCCAATATCTTTTTTTTTTTTTTAAGATTTTTATTTATTTATTTGACAGAGATCACAAGTAGGCAGAGAGGCGGGCAGAGAGAGAGAGAGGAGGAAGCAGGCTCCCCGCTGAGCCGAGAGCCCGATGTGGTGCTCGATCCCAGGACCCTGGGATCATGACCTGAGATGAAGGCAGAGGCCTTAACCCACTGAGCCACCTAGGCGCCCCCTGACCCCAATATCTTCCGGAACATAAACATTTCTCAGAGTCATGTTGCAATTAACTGACACTGCAAGCTGAAAGTCTCGGACATTCTAGAGGTGTGTGATGAGATAAAGTGTCTTCAAAACAGCCCAAGTGTAAGGATTTCCTGTTCAAATTTTAAGTGACACATTGATGAGAAATCTACTTTTTCCACTCTTACTTCTCTCTGAGTGCTCACAGGGCCGGCAGTCTGTGAAGACCACAGATACTGTCTGTTTACAAGAGTAACCTGGTCTCCCAGTGGAAGATGTAGGACTCTCTGGCCAAGAGAAGGTATGTGTCACTCCTCTGCTGTCCCTCTCCTAGCTGCCTCACTTAGTGGGAGATACAGATGCTGGATGGGATACACATGAGGTACAGTTAATATGCAATTAAATCACAGAGAACACTGGCATATGTATTCCAACAATTCAGGGTAACAGATAAGAATGAATATGAAAAACACTGAAGAATCTCTTAAAGTATTCAATTTATTGCCCATGATGAAGTAATTAGGTACATATACGCCCACATAATTGTGTTCACAAATCAGTATAATTTCTTGCAGATAGCCATAAGCATCATGAGAAGGGACCGTTAATTTTGGATTTGTCATCAATATAGATATAAGTACATATACTACTTGATCTTTAGCCTAGTCTTTGAAAATAGATTCTTAAAACAGACGAACATAGGTGAAGGGGGAAAAAAGAGAGGAGGCAAACAGTAAGACATTCGTAACTATAGAGAACAAACTGAAGGTTGCTGAAAGGCAGGTAGGCAGTGGATGGGCTAAATGTGAGATGGGTATTAAGAAGAGCATTTGTAGTGATAAGCATTGGAGGTTATATGTAAATGTTGAATCACTAAATTGTTTTCCCGTATTGAATATCATGCTATATGTCAATTAACTGGAATTACATAAGTATTTGAAAAAAATAATTTAAGATGAAGTCTTCAATCATAAAAGTCAAATGTAATTTCTCATATACTTGCTTTGTTAAATGAACGTAGTTTGATCGTTCATGGAAAGCAGATGAGGTACCTTCTGGAAAATGCTAATTTAAACTTAGGTATGAAATAATCAAAAAAACTTTTAAAAAATTGACCAAAACTTGGCAAAAAAAGATATTTAATACTGAAAGAGATGCCTGTCTAATGGAATATGTTACATGCTCTAAAGGATATGAGTCAGCAATGATACTGTGACTATTCTGTTAAAAGTACTTAAGATAACTAATATACTATTGAGAACTTAGAAACACTGAATGGAATATTAAGTGCTTTAAATGTGTTATAATTTATATATTTTAATTCCCAGTTTAGCTTAGTATAGACTAGGTAGCTAGATAGGAAGTAACTTCTTAAAGATCATAGTTTGTAAATTTGAGAGCTAGGAGTAATTCTATATTCCACTGACTGGTGAGCTCATTGACTGAACTATGAAATTACATTTATTTAATTTATTGGAATTCCTTATACAACTGAAGTTTCCCTACTGCCTTTGACATTCTTAGGTTTTTCTGGAAGTTTGTACCAACAGTTTTCTTCCATAAATGACCTACACTTTTATTTACCGTTTTATGGTTTCACACCTTTACTATTAAATCGGTTGTCAATTTCAGGTGTTAATTAAGTACTTTAAAAATAGTTTTGGTGTTTTTTATTTCATTATTGTTCAGGGTTTGGATAAATTTATTGTGTCATGTAACATTTTCAACACATAAAAGATTTCTATTAAAACTTAATGATTTCTTCCAATGCCACAATTACTCAAGGTGAAAGACCACTTGATAGTACTGCATGACATTTTAGTAAAGAAACCTGAGTCTTAAATAAAAGTAATTTACTCCAGGAAATTCCTGTATGTGCTAAAACTAATATTTCCTAATCTGGGGGACTCCATTTTTTTAAACCAATAATGCATTAAAAACTTGTCAAAAAAATTGATGTAGCATTTTCTTTCTAATGCAGCATTTAAATATTAACCCAGTTATTCTGATAGTGCTGACCTATTCTGTGGAATCTGGCCTTACATTAATGAGGACAGTATTATTCCTGAATTCTTTTCCTTCTTCACTCATTTGTTGCTTTACATGTTTCCAACCAATACTATTGTGTCAAACAGAATATAATTTAAAAAACCACTTATTTCATCATGAAGCACTTCTTCAAAGCTCCAAGGAAATTAGTACCAGATTTTACATTGTTCAACAGCAGATGAGTACTACCACTCACCACACACTCCACCCACTGTGACTGTCCCACCCTCTGTTCATCAAGTCCTTCAGCACAGTCCCATTCAGCCCTGTGCCTGACACCACACAGCTGCAGAGATGAATAACCAAGGAGTTACCTACGCAGAACTCAGTCAGGTTAAGGGTTCAAGAAGACAGCAAGTGAAAGCTAAGGGCACTAAAAGTGGCATTTCGGGAACTGAGCAGGAAATAACGTATGCAGAATTAACTCTTCAAGATGCTTTTTGGGATCTTCAAGGGAATGGCAAGAACTACCAATGGAAAGGTAAAACACTTACTACAATACAGACATAGTATAACTGCTCTAGAATGTGCACATGGGGAGCAGGGGTACAGGGAATGAGTAGGGAATGATCTCCCGTATTTTTCATTTGTGTGGATCAGAGCTTGGGGCTGGAATATGGTATTGTAATTGAAATCTGAGGATGAACCTTGCTCAAGTGTTATAATTCATGGTCTTAACCCAGTCTCATGGGGGTAATTTATTGCAAATGTAATGGTACATTCTGAGAGAAGATTACAATGGTCGATGCAAGTTTGGGGTCCAAATTTTTATATGTGACTCCCTGTGCTTTGTTGGTTCTCTTGTATGTAAATTTCCTAAATGATTGTTTTCCATCCATGTTTTCTGAGCATTTTCATTTCTCTTCCAACTATTTACCTTCATGTCCAGGGAAGCTCATTGCTGGGATCCTGGGAATCATCTGCCTTGTCTTGATGTCCACTGTGGTCACAACAGCCGTTATTCACTGTAAGTGTTTCAATGATAAGGGAATTTTTCACTTTAATGATCATCGGTGCTCAAAGTGTTGCACAGTATTATGGAATTGTATTACCTCAATTTAATGCACGTATTTTCTAGGTGTGGAGTGGTTATTCTGAATTTGTCAAGAGTAGAAATAACAGAATAACTCTATATAGAGAGTATTACACACATATTCAGATTTCATACCTGAAATACAAGTTATGACAGAGACTTTATGGAGATATACAAGTTAGTTCTTGAGACTGGTTAAACCAAATACTGCAAAAGACTGTGAGGTTTGATTCTTTAAACTTTTGAATTATCTTCCCCCACATGTTCACTATTTTATTTAATTTTTATGGATAAAATCAATTTTATTACAGAGATTTCTCATTCTAAATAATATACCAAAGTTCAAACTAGGAAACTCAAATTATAATGATTTATTTAGTTTAATGTTAAGTTTTATGAGCATTGTTTTAATTTTTCTAGTTACTGCAGGACCAGTGCAGAACAAGGCATCCATGCAAATAGCGACCCAGAAAGGTAGAAATTTTTTTTCAAAACTCTGATAGTAGGATAGCTTGTATTTTGTGTGTATCTTAAGGTAGACAAGGATGATAATAGATGTTCTTGTGGAAAATGAATTAGAAAATTGCATAGTAAATTTTCGTAATTGATCAGTATAGGAGAGTATTACTTCTTACACAATAGTATGAGAAAATATTTATTTAAAATCAGCATACGTGAGGTACCTGGATGGCTCAGTGAGTGAAGCATCTGACTCTGGGTTTTGGCTCAGGTTACGAACTCAGGGTCCTGGGACTGAGCCCTGTTTAGGCTCCACACTCAGTGCAGAGTCTGAGATTCTCTCTCCTTCTCCCTCTGCCCTCCGGTTCATGCTCTCTCTCTCTCTCTCTGAAATAAATAAATAGATCTCAAATAAAATAAAGTTACTATGGGGCACCTGGGTGGCTCAGTGGGTTAAAGCCTCTGCTTTCAGCTCAGGTCATGATCCCAGAGTCATGGGATCGAGCCCCGTGTCAGGCTCTCTGCTCAGCGAGGAGCCTGCTTCCTCCTCAATCTCTCTTTTTCTCTCTGTGCACTTGTGATCTATCTGTCAAATGAATAAATAAAGTCTTTAAAAAAAAAATAAAGTTACTATATTCATTATTACCAATGGCCTCAAATTCCCTACTGCTATAACATGATATAATATAAACAATTATACAATTCCAAAAAAGTTGTTTTGTTCAGGGATTCAAAGTACATGTAAAGATGGACGTTTTTGTTTGTTTGTTTTATCCTGGCACATAAGTAAGGGATGAAAGCCTGACACTTCTGGGAGTGTGCCTGTGTTTTATTTTTGCCTGCTTGTGAGGGTAAAGTGATGTGTTGTATACACATTTTTGTATACATATGAAAGTTGCAAACTTGCAAGTTTTAATATTCAAAGCCTTTTGGATAACATCTCATAATCCTTCTTTAGCTTATCATTGTGGTCATTGTCCAAAAGAGTGGGTTACATATTCCAAAAATTGCTACTACATTAGCACTGAAAGAAAACCATGGAATGAGAGTCGGTTGTCTTGTGCTAATAAGAACTCTACCCTGCTCTCCATAGACGATGAAGAGGAAATGGTGAGGTTTCAAATATTTGCAGCTTTTATTAAAAGCTTATCATTTAGGGGCGCCTGGGTGGCTCAGTGGGTTAAGCCTCTGCCTTCGGCTCAGGTCATGATCCCAAGGTCCTGGGATTGAGCCCCGCATCGGGCTCTCTGCTCAGCAGGGAGCCTGCTTCCCCCTCTCTCTCTGTCTGCCCCTCTGCCTACTTGTGATCTCCATCTGTCAAATAAATAAATACAATCTTAAAAAAAAAAAGCTTATCATTTAATATTACATTTGTAGATCTCATCCATATAGTCATATATATTTCTTGTTTATTTATTTTAAAGTTTGTTTAAACAACTGTTTAAAGTTGTTTGTAACTATTACTATAGTTACAATTCCATAGTTTTTTACTATTCCATAGTTTGATTTTATGATATTTTACTATTTTGTACCTTTAATGTACATTTAATAATTTCTAGTTCTTGCTTTTCATAGAGAACCATACTTCTATAAATGCTCTTTTGTCTGATAACCTTATTATGTTTTTTCCCACACATTATGAAAACTATATGATTGGGACACCAGGATGGCTCAGTGAGTTAAGCTTCTGCCTTTCGCCCAGGTCATGATCTCAGGGTCATGTGATCCAACCCCACATCAGGCTCTCTGCTCAGCAGGTATCCTGCTTCCCCCTTTCTCACTGCCTGCCTCTATGCCTGCTTGTGATCTCTCTGTCAGATAAATAAATAAAATATTAAAAAAAGGAAACTATATGATTGTGCATTTTCATCACAAAATAGTCAGAACATAAATACAAATCAGATCATGAGCGAGAAGTTTAGAGTCTCTATTAGCCCTGCCAGTTTTAATACTGTGAAATGTCTTTGCTTATTTTTGGAATTTATATCAATGGAATCATGCAGTATGCATTATTATGTATATCTCTTTTTGTTCTTGTATGATATTTGTAATCTGTCTATATTATTCCATTTGTCTGTAGTTTGTGAATTTTCACTGCTGCTGTCTTATATGAATATGACATTTTATTTATTTATTTATTTTAAAGATATTATTTATTTATTTGATGGAGAGAGATCACAAGTAGGCAGAGAGGCAGGCAGAGAGAGTGAGAGGGAAGCAGGCTCCCTGCCGAGCTGAGAGCCCAATGCGGGACTCGATCCCAGGACCTTGAGATCATGACCTGAGCCAAAGGCAGCGGCTTAACCCACTGAGTCACCCAGGTGCCCCTGAATATGACATTTTAAAAGCTATTCTCAGAAACTTACATCCTTTTTAGTATGTGTGTATTATGAATAATTATTTTATGAAAGGCTTTTTCTATATATTTTCCATGTATTATATTTATAATAACTTATTATACATAACTACATAGTATATAGTATATTTATGAAATGTAAATAATGCATTTGTCAAAATAACAATGCATAAATCTAACATTATAATTGTATTTACATATGATTATTATATATTTTTTTCTAAGCATTAGTATGAAGCATAGTATTTTCTCATAGTATTTGTTCAGCCTCTTCAGTAATTCTTCATGGATTAGTAGAGATTCCCAGAACATCAGTATTAATTCATCTGTGTGGCCAAAGGTCTCCACCTCCTTTCCTAAAGTGTAAGTTTCTTGACAACTTGTTTTATGCCTCAAGAGGATTAATCTTACAAAGAATAAATGAAATATGTAAACAATTATATAACACAATTGTGAAAATGTTCCCATAAAAATGGTATGGGAAATATTCAGATTTAGATGTACAGCTATTAGTCTAAATCAACTATTTATTCTTCACAATATTGTGATTCATATTTTTAAGAATATGAGATCTAATTCTCTTTGTTTCAGGCCATCAGTTTCTTCAGAGAGTAACAAGAAGTGTCCCTTTTCAACTCTGACTCAAAGAAAACTTCTTTCAAATCCTGCTTGGATCAAAAAATATATGTTTGCAAGCCCTGGGCATTTTAGTTACCTAATTTCGGTATCTATCTCACCAACTCTAAAGCTATCTCACCATCTGTAAAGAACGTATTTCTCATTTCTTCAAAAGTCATACAATTATTTTTTTAAAGATTTTATTTATTTATTTGACAGACAGAGAACACAAGTAGGCAGAGAGACAGGCAGAGAGAGAGGAAGGGAAGCAGGCTCCCTGCTGAGCAAAGAGCCCAATATGGGGCTTAATCCTGGGACCCTGGGATCATGACCTGAGCTGAAGACAGAGAATTTAACCCACTGAGCCACCCAGGCGCCCCAAAAGCCATACAATTATTATCTCATAATATATTTCAGATATAATTTTTAGAGCAATTTTAGGTTCACAACAAATTAAGAAGAAGGTACAGAGATTTCCTCTATTACCCCTGAATACACAAGGGCATGGCCGCACCAGTTATCAGTATCACTCACTAGAATGGTTTTTTACTGAAGGTTCCACCAAGTTGACTGAAGAGTGGGGGACTCCAATTCAACCAGTCTCCTAAATTTAGCTAGGAATCTATCAAGCCACTCTGGACACCCATGAAATCAGTCTGAGATGTAAGATTATACACATTTGGATCTCTATGGGGGCTGAGAATCATCTGGGGAGAGATACAAAAGATGGAGTTGGGTTTGCACAGACAGATGTTGCAGGACAGAAGGGGGGAGAGCCAAAAGAAACCAGCCATTGGAAATTAATACCCCATGTCAAAAATGCCCTGTGCTCGGGGACCAGCAATACCTTGGAGATGGGTGGTTGCAGGACAGGAAGGGACTGATAACAGTGTTCAAAAAGAACAAAGGGACTTAAGGGACAATTTCAGGGACCAGGTTGCCATAGGTATGGACACATGGACTGGTCATAACCACTGCCCGCCTATGCCTGAGAGGACCCAGTGGGGATTTGAGTCAGCGGTCCCTGGGGCTTGGCAGCTAATGCTGCCACCATAGTCACCTCCGCCACTACTGCTGCCACTGCAGCTGAAAGGACCCAACTTTGTCTGGAGACCACCGTCCTGGGAGCAGCAGCCACCAGGCCAGGGCTTGCCCAAACTCATGTTTTTTGTGGCACGGGTGTACAGAGACAAGTGGGGGTCTCAGCCGGCCACTGAGAGGGTCGCTGGGAATGCACACCACCTGTGGGAGGTTGCATTATTCAGTGGGGTTTGCAGAAGGGGCCTCTGTGTTTTGGACAATTCAGAGAGGAGCAGAGGATGGTTTCTCCCTAAGGCAGAGGTCTGGGTGTGGACAGTTTACTTTGCTCTGACCCTCCAAAATGGCATGAAAAGCCACCAGATAAGAAAAGCCAAGAACAAAAGCCTGAAAAACCAGGTTCCATAAAGCCCAGTCCCATGATAGGGACCAGGGCAAGTCCACACAACTGGATTAACTGAAAAACAACATAGCAGACCCCTCCCCCGAGAAGACAAGCTGAAGGAAAAAGAGAACACAACCACAGAGTCCCCATAAAACTGTAAAAACCCCAACACCAGGGGAATACAGTTTATTAAGCCCTGATACTGTCTCACAGCCTGTATATTTCTGAGATAACAACTTTTCTCTCTCTTTATTTTTAATTCTTTTCATGATTCGTGCTCTTTGATGTTGTTGTTTTGTTGTTGTTCTAACCTACTTACCATTTCAACTAGATGTTTAATTAATACAACCTATTCCATAGTAACTTTTTAACTTGAATGTTTCATACATATACCTTTTTCTTTTTTTCTTATATATATAGAGAGAGAGATAAATAGATATAAGCTTCAATGTAGTCCTTTTTCCCCTATTCAATAATACCTTTACATACATACCATTTTAACTTCTCTGTATGTCTGGGAAGTTGAGTTCTCTAACAAAGATAACAAAATACACCCAGGAAGAACAGAAATGGGCATTCCTTGCCTACACTGAGGGATATTAACAATTTTCCCATCATCCCCCCTTATTGTTTATTTATTTATCCTTTTATTTGTTTGATTGTTTTTCTTTTGTACTTTATAAATATTGCTCTTGGGGCTCATTTTGGCTGGAATTGTTTTTTTTTTTTCTTTTTTCTTTCTTTTTCTTTTTCTTTTTCTATTTTATTTTATTTTTTCTTTTTGGTGGTGACATCTGTTAGCTCTGAACCTTCGCAGGTGTTTCTTGACTGGATAGTGGTTGATATTTTTGGCTGTACATCCCCTCAACCACAACTCAACAGAATGATGAGGAGGAAGAACTCCCAACAAAGAAAAGGTCCAAAGACAATGGCCTCTCCCACAGAACTAATGGATATGGATTAAAGTAAGAGGTCAGAAATAGACTTCAGGGTAGTAGATATGAAGACAATATCTGGAGAAAACTGTTAATGGCAACATAGATTCATTAAGGACAGAAGTGAGAGCAGATTTGGCAGAACTTAAAAATGCTATCAATGAGATACAATCTAATTTAGATACTTTAACAGTTAGGGTAAATGAGGCAGAAGAAGGAATTTGTGATCTTGAAGACAAACTGATAGAAAGGAAGGAGCAGAAGGAGTCCTGGAACAAAGAGCTTAAAATCCATGAAAACAGAATTAGAGAAATAAATGGTGCCATGAAATGTTCCAATGTCAGAATTATTGGGATCCCTGAAGGGGTGGAGAGAGAGAGGGGACTAGAAGATATATTTGACCAAATTGTAGCCAAGAGCTTCCCCAATCTGGGGAATGAAAGAAGCAATCCTGTCCTAGAGGCAGAGAGGACACACCCCAAGATCAATGAGGGCAGACCAATGCCCAGGCATGTAATAGTAAAACTTGCAAATCTTAGAATGAAGGAGACGATTTTAAGTGCAGTCAGGAGGAAGAGATTCCTTAGGTACAGAGGGAGGACGATCAGAATAACCTATTCACATCAATCTGACAAGCCAGAAAGGGCTGGCAAGACATATTCAGGGTGTAAATGAGAAGAATATGCAGCCAAGAATTCTTTACTTGGTAAGGCTGTCATTCAGAGCAGATGAAGAGATAAGAAGCTTGCAGGACCTGAAGAGGCTGAAAGAATATGTGACCACTAAGCTGGCCCTGTAAGGGGGTTCTATTAAAGGAGAGAGACCCCAAGAATGACACAGAACAAATATACAGAGACAATCCATAGAAACAGGGACTTCACAGGCAACACGATGACAATAAAATCTTATCTGTCAATAATCCCTCTCAACGTGAATGGCCTAAGACAATGGAATGTCCTTTTCCTTCCAGTGTTGAGTATCCCATCTACACATATATGTTTCTCACCATGGAGAAGGGGGAATGTAATAGAGAAGCTGCTTAATATACACACAGAACAGTATTTATAGGGAGTTAATCAAGTGTCTATTCAGAGTAGAAAGAGTCATGGTGGGATGTCTGGTGGCACAGTCAGTTAAGTGTCTGATCGGGTCATGACCTCAAGGTCATGAGACCAAACCTGCGTCTAGCTCCATGCTCAGTGCCAGCTGCTAAGACTCTCTCTTCCTTGCTTTCTGCCCCACTCCCCTCTTTCAAATAAATAAATAAATCTTAAAAATAAATACCATACACTAATGATGATAATAGCTTTGTAATACAGCTTTACGTCCAGAATTGTGAAGCCTCAGGCTTTAGTTTTCTTTTTCAACATTATTTTGTCAATTTGGGGTCTTTTTTTTTTTTTTCCCATACAAATTTTAGGATTCTTTGTTCTAGCTCTGTGAAAAATGCTGATGATATTTTGATAAAGATTGTAGTGAACCTGTAGTTGCATTGTGTAGGATAGATTTTTTAAGAATATTTGGTCTTGAGGGAATTGAGAGGCAAGGCAGGGGACCCTGGGGGGTCAGGAGGGAAAAAATGAAATAAGATGGTATCAGGAGGGAGACAAACCATAAGAGACTCTTAATCTCATGAAACAAACTGAAGGTTGCTTGAGGGTGGGAGGTAGGGATAGGTAGGCTGGGTTATGGACACTGGGGAGGGTATGTGCTATGGTGAGAGCTGTGAAATGTGTAAACCTAATGATTTACAGACCTGTACCCATGGGGCAAATAATACTTTATATGTTAATAAAAAATTAAAAGAATATTTGTTCTTCCTATCCATGAGCATGGAATGCTTTTGATTTCTCTGTGTCTTCCTCAATTTCTTTCATGAGTGTCCTATAGTATTCAGAGTACAGATTCTTTATCTCTTTGGTAAGGTTTATTCCTACATATCTTATGTTTTGTTGTTGTTGTCTTTTTTCTTGTTGCAATTATAAGTGGAATAAATTCCTTGATTTCTATTTCATCTGTCTCATTGTTAGTATACGGCAGTGCAACTGATACTGAACTATACTGATACTGAACTATAGGAAACAAAGGGTTGTTGGAGGGAAGGTGTGTAGGAGGAAGGGAAAATTGGGTGATGGGCATTAAGGGGACACTTGATGTAATGAGTGCTGGATGTTATATGCAACTGATGAATCACTAAGTTCTATCCTTGAAAAATTAAAAAAAATAGTAATAAAAAAAAGAAAAGAAAGAGTCTCAGAGAAATCAAGAATATAAAGATCAATGTGGTATTTTTTTCTATGTCTGACTTTCTGAGAATGTACATTAAGTGTTGAAGAAAATGGGCTTGTTATTCTAGATCCCAGAGTTAGACAGTACTCATTTCAGTACTAAATTCAGAGGAAGATGACACCCTTTCATAATTTACTGTGGTTGTACCAGAGCAGAACAGGTATTCTTTGAAGCACTCAGTTCCAAAGAAAATGCAGAAAGGACAAAGTTGTGTCTGTCCAATCTCCTGTACCCTATTTATTAATGTGAAAATTTTATTTTCTGATAATTGATGAGTGTAAGATTATGGAAAAAATAAGACATTAGCATTTAAAATGTTAAGTTCTGCCCTTAATTGCAAGCACTGGTTC